CCGTGTGTTCTCTCGACCGTGTATCTCTCTCTCTCTCTCTCTCTCTCTCTTTTTCTCTTTCTCTCTGCCTCTCTGCCTTGTTTCTTTTTTTCCCTTTTTTCTCTCTTCCTTTTTCCTTCCACGCGATGCGTGCGACGCGGTATCGCGCCTCTATCCGTCCGGCGATCAAACGTTACGGGCGATACATCGCTGCTCGCTATTGATTTTCGCGCTCCCTCACCGTCACTCCTTTTACGTTCCCTAACGCGCCCGTATGTAACCCGTTACGCCAGCTCGCCTTTCGTCGTCCCCCCACGTCGAGTTTTCTCGTTTCGTCTCGCCTCTTCTCATCTTCTTCCTTCGCGTCCCGTCGGCGACGATTTAACGCGATTCGTATTTCGTCCGTTACGCGCGGCCCTTCCCCCATGAGAACTCGCCCTGCCCGACACGACGATGCGGCTCTCACGAGTGGGAGCCATATTTCTCGCCTAACGTTCGAAAAGTGAGGTTATCCGTGGCTGGTCCAAGTTGCCAAACGCGTTGCCAAATGCGACTCTCTGTAAAACGCCGGCGCTCCCACAAATGAAAAAAAAACAAGAGATTTCTTTTATATTTCCATGAATCAGAAAATGGTTAGTGGAAATGGATAAATATTAATTATTTAACACGCAGGAAAATGTAATTGCTCTTGCAATTTGTCGAGGAATAACAGCGATAAAGATAGCTCGAGGGAAAAAAAAAAACACTGCTCGACAATAAAGATCTTAGATGTTACAGTAACGTAATTTGCGATTAGACCCTCATATCTTGTGCGGAGAATCGATACGTCACGGCCACTTTGCCTCAACTTTATGGCAAACGGGCGCTAAATCAGCACCTGTCTGTAATTAATGTCCAGGAATAGCTCGCGCCGTTACTCCCAGAGATCCCCCGCGTTGTCTCGAGAGTCGACTTCGATTTATATCCCATGATTTTTTTTCCAAAGTTACTCCGTAAAACCATACCTCACATTCGTTGAATCCGCGATATTTAAAATGTATAAAAAAAAAAATCGCCGGTGATACCAACAGTTAGATTTTTGTATTAAACGTGCACGCGCACGCACGCACGCACTTTTGGAAAAGACTCAAAATTTATTTTTACTGCACGCGATATATAGTCGAGGGGTACGCGGCATATCCCCGTAAATGCGTGGCGTTTGCGACGAATTACGCGGATTCCGGTAACGTTTGTTTAATATCCGCGTGATCCTCAAAGTGGTCTGGGAAATTCTTTACTTATGCGCGGCAGCAATTAAACCATGCGGATGCATCATCTTGCTATTTTTGTTGGCATTGTCACGCACATCTCATTGCCTTTGCCATTACCTGACGCACCTAATTGTAGGAATGGGGAAAAGAGGCGTCGAAATTTATGCGAATTATTGATCCGGGATAAAACGCGACTAATAAATCGAGACATAATGAAGTAGAATGTATGTTTCAACGCCCAATGCTTTGGGCGACGTGAGTTTTTATCCTAGAGAGAGAAAAAGAATCCAGTTTGGCAGGGCAGAAATGCTCAATGAGCTAGAATTCGCATTTACAGCGAAAAACAGCAACTTTATTATACTCGTTTAGATATTTATAAAATGCATGTAAATGATGCATAATGTCAATATTGCGCTAATAAAATTAAAGCTTGATGTGCTGTTGCTGTTTTTGATTTCAAGGCTGATCAACTCACAGAGGAACAAATCGCAGAATTTAAGGAGGCGTTCTCGCTGTTCGATAAAGACGGCGATGGTACTATAACTACCAAAGAATTGGGCACGGTCATGCGGTCCCTTGGTCAAAATCCCACAGAAGCAGAATTACAGGATATGATTAATGAAGTAGATGCAGACGGTATATATTTTTATATAATTTTATGTTCAAATCGTAATTTCAATAATTATTTTGTTATTTTATAAAAATTGATAGCCTTATTCTGTTTTCACTTGAAAATATTACGCTTATTATTTGCGGAAAAAATTGCTCATTTTTTTATTCTACTACAGGATGCCTGAAGCATCTTGCGAAATGCACTTTTTTAATTGAAAGAGGAAAATAAACAATCTCGACAGAACCTCGGCATTATGAAATTCTCGAAATTCTAGGTAACGGCACAATCGACTTCCCGGAGTTCTTGACCATGATGGCGCGTAAAATGAAGGACACGGATAGCGAGGAAGAGATTAGGGAGGCCTTCAGAGTGTTCGATAAGGATGGAAATGGTTTCATATCCGCGGCGGAACTTAGACACGTCATGACAAATCTGGGCGAGAAACTCACTGATGAGGAAGTAGATGAAATGATACGAGAGGCCGATATCGACGGCGACGGTCAAGTTAATTATGAAGGTTGTATTGCATTGCCTGATTATTGTTATTAATTAGCGTGAAATAGGACGTTGTTACCGATATATCGTGGAGTAGATCTCCAAGTATATGCTGTTTTATGATACAATATTGGAAGAATGATTGCGACGTATATTTAATCTGCAATTTTGATTGAAATATCTTGATGTCGTATATCTTAGATTATGACGTTGAAAGTGGATGGAATTTTTAGCGGTACAGACGAACAATTCGTACATTCGCATAAATGATTTTTTGTCCACGAAATCGTTTTAATTCCGCGAATTAATGCGATTTTTAATAAAGCAGTTTGCGCAGTTGGTTAACATGTGTCTCGCCATAAATTTCTTCTTATTTTTGACGTGATGATAAGAAATATCTGATAGCTGTTTCTTTTTTTATCATTATTTTGGCGAGATTGTTATATTTAGACATTGTGAACTAACGTAATGTGAAACTAACGAGATATTCCTTCGTTATATTTTCCAGAATTCGTCACAATGATGACATCAAAGTGAATGCAACCTGTGTAACGGAAGAACTCGCGACTCGGAGTGGTGTTGACGTATTAAATAAATCAAGAAACAGAAAAAAAACATATGTAACAAAACGAGAATCATGCAGAAAGTGACAAATCTTGTATCAGGATATGAAGATGTCTATAAATGCGCGAAGAGTCAACGTCCGATACCGCGTGAAAAATCATCGTTTAACGATAAGTAATACAGGGCAATTAATTGTTTAATTAAAGAGTTATACCACTAAAATCATTATCTCTCAAGACACAAAATATTTACGCGTTTACACACATACAACACAGTAACTCCTTATACCGATACACATACGAACGCAACACACTCGAAGAGTATACACGTACACACACATACACATTCACTCGGATGTCTTATTTCCATTGGATAGAAAACAAGTTTGGAAGTGAGATGACGCGAAGACACACAATTGCGCGCGCATGTGCACCAAACGACAAAAAAAGTGCATTTTCCACTTTCCTCTCTTTCTCGACTGCCCCCACTCCCTCCTCTCCTTCCCTCCCTTTTCCTCTCCTCCCGTCGCATTCGTCGCGCCACTATCTTCCTCCTCACTTCCCCCTTACTCTCCTTCATTCTCCCGAAAGTTTTTTCATGAGAAAGGCATGTCGAAGAATTGTAATTTCTCTTTACAAAGGGAGAGGAATGTGTGTGTTAAGGGACAAAGTATAAATCCGATGTAAGATAAATATTAAAAGCAGCAAGGGTTTATTTGCCAATCGAGAGAAAGATTCATCTCGAGAATTCCTTCGTTCATTTTTTAATAAACGAAATACATGTATAGTGAATGATGACATTAGGATACGTAGCTGCTAAATAGATGATGATGTCTCTACCGTTAAAATGCATGCACATGTACAAATGTTTGTTTGACTCTGTGAGAGAGAATTCGGCCTGGACCGATCGTTTTCCAGACAAAGAGAGAAAAAGCGAGCGAGAGAGTATAAATACGATGCGCTTCGGCCTCTGGGTTACGACTTCAAACGCAAAAGCTGTGCTGGATCCCTCGATGCCTCACAAATGAGTAACTTAATTTATATAAGTAATGAGCGAGAAAATTATAAAAAAAAGATGAAAGAGAAAGAGAGAAAGAGAGCGAGATAAGATAGAGGAAAGAATCGGAGGAGGAGCTTCGAGGAGCTCAGACCTAGTGCTTTCGCGTGCGTCACGTCTTGCGGGACGGATGTGATCCGTTGATCACATCACGCGGATGGCATCATAAAAACGTGGACGATGAGTCGCGACGCGATTGTTAGAAAGCTCTAGGATCCGAAGTCTCGACATTCCTATTTGAAGAAAAAAATAGAACAGTCTCTTCCTTACGCTTTCAATCAACATCAATCCAGCCTCTCGTGCTCGTGCACACGGGACTCACACGTACACGTACGTTTTACGAATGAATTATACTTACGCGAGAAACTCTATACACACGAAAGATTATACACACAGCAAAAAAAAAAGAGAAACACTATAATATTATATTCACGAAGTGCGTTTTGCCTCCAGTTCCATTTTAATCTCCTATTTGTAACTTGCCTTCCACTCTAAGGAAAGCCTTACATGCATGCGCGCAAAAAAAAGATACAAAAAAAGGGGAAAAAGAAAAATAACGTCGACACCACTTTTGTTGATATGTAAATCTACGGAGAAATAAAATAGGGATGGGGGATTAAAGGAAGTAAAGGCCACAGTGAGATCGGTGCATTACTTTTCTTCGCCCAGGGGTGCGTGCCAGTCTCGTAAAAACGGAGCCAACCAGATCGGAGAAACTGGTGTGATTTTTGTGCGATCCGTACAATATAATGTTACTTAAGAACTCGAAAACAAAGAACATAAATGCCGTACAGCGTAAACATCATGCGTGTCGGTGGTTCAGTCATAATATATATGTAATATATATATATATATATATAATAAAATAATTTACGAAGAAATTAAAGAAAAAAAAAAGATAGAAAGAGATAATTCCTCCACAGTCCTTTATTATTTAATATCGAAGTGAACAAAATGAGAAGTACTTGTATTTCTGGTGACCTAGATCGCATTGATCAATTAAAACAAAAAAGAAAAAAAAGTTAAAAAAAAAGAATAAAAAGACAAAATAAATGTATCCTCATTTTTAGGTCACAGCTACTCGATTCGTTTCCTTCATTACCAATGGACCTCTCGTTTCAGCAATCATCTCTTTTTGTGTTCGATGGCATCTAGATACTTTGCTATGAGAATGTTTCATTGTGTCTCTACTGAACAGGATCCACTTTACATATCTCTGACTTTTCTCGCTACCTTTGAAAACTTTTGAGAAGAATAGATATAGGTTACAAGAAAGTACGGTATTAATTGTAATTAGGAAATCTCGCTCCATTAAAAAAACACCCGAAAAGCAAAGGGGGAGAGAAAAAAAAGCACACATTGGGTCTATTTGTAAACTGTGGTTATTCTATGTCCGAAGTATATTTCCACACTTATATACACTTTATTAAGGATGAGAAAGATTGTCAACACACTCGTTTTGTAAAAGTGGTCGTTAGTATTCGACAGGCATCTGTATCTAAATGCTTCCAAATCCCGCTTCGTTTCATCGAACACTGAACCTAGCGATTAAGTCTCTTACGTTACAAAGACTCTATTCCAGTATTTAATATAATAGTAATTTTATATCCGTATCACAAAATCTATTTATTGAAAGAATTTTCGCGCGCCAAGGATAGATAGAAAAAGAGAAAGAAAAAAAAAAGAGAGTGGCGCATGGAAGCTCTTGTTGTGAACGTTAACATCGAGGCAATGCCAAATCTTTACCGAATATATTGAAGCGTTAGCTCTTCTAATATTTAATTTAGCGTCCCCTCGATCTTTGTTATTGAAATACACGTTGTTGTTCTTAAAAAAAAAAAAACAAAGGAATCGTTTATATCGTATTTGCGGAGGTACCAAGACACATCCTGCTTCTATCGAACGTTGTATTTATTTCGATGTGTACATACGAACGTAAAATTGATCGACGAAGTGAATTTTCGTTCGGTTATACTAATTGTAATTTTTAAAACGAGCAAGTTCGTTGCGATATAAACAAGATGAGAACGTTGTACGTTGCAAAATGAGGAGATTCTTTTTCTATCAGATAATTACAAATATGGGCTCAGAGTGCTCTTCTTTTTTTTTGTTATTTGAACGACTGTAGTCATTCGATTTAATACTCTGATTTCTCAAATTTTGAATTCAAGCATTATTTCTAGTGTATGTAAGTATATTCTCTGCCGTATCTCAAAGGCGTTCTTCACTTCTTGTCGTACATAAATAAAGCGGCACAGTTTGTATAAAGTGTTGATATTAAGTTAATAAATTGTTCCTATATACTTATATGGGAGCAAACTGGTGTTTATCTACAATAAAAGCGATTTTATCTCCCTAAAAAAAAAGTAACAGATATAGCTAACAAGAGTAAAAGAAAATTACAGGATATCTTACGATAGGCAACGTATACAGGATAAACTTTTTCATCATCTTATATGATTACGGATCTACATCGAGAGATGAATTGCGTATTATTTTCGTTTAATTAAGTTTCGATAAATAACGACTGAACTTCGAATTTTGCCAAGAGATAAAACAGAGCAAGACTTTTTTGAAAAATATTTTATTTTTTCATACATATTTTTTTTAACTCGTAACATAACAAAATTCGATGATTATGTAGATATGTTTTGCTAGCGGCGAACATTGCGTGCTCTCACGATACGCATTCTTTCGGTGTAACTTTGAAATGCAGGCATACCTCCTTCAGCAAATTTTTCAGGATTTTCACTTGGTGCTCGGAGCTCTGAAAAAACGCGTTCAATTCAAATCATCGTATCCTTTATTTTATTTAATCACAACGAAACGAATACTCACCCCGTCGAGGGTAACTGTCGGTATAAAAGATACTCGCGGGACGAGTGAATTCGTCATCTCTCCGTACTTTGCCAAGAGTTCCTTTCCCCTTTCCATGTTTGTACACTTCTTTATAGATTCTAGATCCACAGATATACGCCCGGCGCATGTATTCATTATTCTTACTGGGTCAATGTTATTCTCGATCATGCAAGATACAAATTGCAGTTGTACCGATGGGTCCTTAATGACATCGATGGAGCAAGCGTGTATGATGTTCGCCTGACACTCGATTGGTCCGTGCTGGCACATGAATTGGTACCCATCGTCCTTCTTTACTGTCTGGGAAATCAAATATGTAACTTCAGCAAGAAGCCGACTCGTTCAACTTGAGTCATTGATCTAATTGTCTCCACGCGATTTCTCTTCGATATATACCTAGTCGCTTAAAAAATGTACGTGTCATGCATATGTTTAAACATTGCCAAAAACATAAAAATTTCCGTAAAATATTTTATTTTTTCTAAGTGTCTGCAAAAATAAGTATAGTTTTTCTGAACAGTTTAGAAATAATTTAATTTTTAAACTTGCATTAATTTATAGAGAAAAATTACGCAATTTAGGATTTGTATTTTGTTTTAAAATTATTAATTTAATATATATGATTTTTATGTTTCTTATTATTAGATATCTATAATAAATTCAAAATTTTTCGATATTAATTATTTTTGTTTCTTGCAATTTACAAAAATTCACGATTAAAAGTTAGAAAGAATGTTTATTATAAATATTTTCTTTCATGAAAATTTATAATATTAAAAATTTATATTTAAATTTAATATTAAAAATTATATTTAATATTTATATTTGATTTTTTTACAAATCAAGTTCATTTTTTTGATGTTCCAAATATATATATATATTTTTCAATTTTAATAACTTTATTATATAGCTTTAATATAACAAGTGATTAGTAATAGGAATGCGAATGATTTGCAACGGATTTTCTTACCTTTGCCTTACCGTATGGCACTAGTATAATTTCCACGTTCGTCAAGAGTTTTCGATACATCGGACCTAATTGTTTCAAGACGAAGCTACGCGAGTCCGGACATAAAGCTTCGTAATACACGGCTACGTGCACTTTCTGAGGAGCTGGGTCATTTTTTCGTTCAATGGCGTCGCCGCTTGGTCCATCTCAAGTTCTATATAAAATTATAAAAGTAATAAATAATACATTTGTGATCGTAAATTTTAATTTAAAAATATAAATGAAACATATGTGTATAAATTACAATATTTTCATTTCTCAATTTTGAACCTCGATTTTTATCATCTGCAAATAATCGTTATCTCGAAACTTTCTTGTAATTATTTAAAATCACGAGAAATTCACGTGACGATTCTTTTCGAGTACAGGAAACCGGAATATATCCGTGAATCACGTTGCTTATCTAGTGGTCAGGACATTGATAAATGGTTTTCTTCTTTTTTTTTGACACGTGAACGATGTAATCATCATGTATATCTAGCTTTTTACAGTATATTATGTTTCTATTACATCGGTTTTTCCACGATTCTTGTACATGATTAAAGACATATGCATCGTACATCAAAACAAAGGCATACAATTTAAAAATTTCATAGACTTCTACTATTTCTCTCTAAATATCAAAATGCAAAGCACAATGTTAAGCAAATGTTAAATACAATTTTTTAAATAGTTTTATTATTGTTAAATTTAAATTCGTTCTTATAGAAAGAAAATCGCGTGTAATTTTACTAGTTAATTATTAGTTTATAATTTAATAAATTTTTACATATTTTCATATTTTAGTAATCCAAAAAACTTATATATTTAAATTATATCTATAGTGATTTTTATAAATTATTTTTCTTTTAAATTTATTTCAAAAAATATTCATGACTCAAAGTTTTTGTGAGCAATTGGGAAAAATATCAGTTACAAATATTTTTTCTCATGAAAATGTTGAAAACCATGTTGTTTCGTCGATACTAAAAAAATGTCTTTATAATTTACATTTATTTGATATTACAGACAATGTAGGACAGTTGTATAAACAAAAATGTATGTTCTTAACTTTTTGCTGCTATTGTACAGCCAATGTGCCAATACATTCTTAATTCAAATATCTTGCACCTGTCAAATCGCAATTGCTAGAACTCCGATTTCTATAATCGCAGTTGTGACAATTGCGATTTGACAGATGTTACATTTAAACTGCGAGCGATTACGTCTCGAAGCTCAGCGAGTCGAGGATTCTCTTCGATCATGTGTTAAACAGAAGATTAAACCTCTTGAAGAGTATCAGATAACATTGATTGAGCTCTGTAAATTGCGTAACAAGTAACTGAAAGCGTCATATTAAAAATAATCAACCTATGGTCATTTCCGACTCAAAGTATGCCATGTTCGTTGTATTACCGTATCGAGGAAAGATACATCTTGCCATATGCGAGGACGCTACGCATCACCGCAATCACTTGATTTTTCGAATTCCCGGAAAAATACTACTCGGAGGCAGTGATTTGCGACCAACGGCCCTGAACTACGGGGATCGGATCGATTGGGAATTGAATCGAAATTGAATATATGCGACGTACACCTGCCGTTTCACATCGCGCCGGGAATCACCGCTGAAAAGAAATCGATATAGCGATTTGGTGACGCGCGCGCGATCGGCGGCCGTCCTCTCCGGCGGCGGCAAGTGCGAAGCGGAACAAGAAAAAGAGATAGAGAGAAAGAGAGAGAGAGAGAGGAGCCGCGCGCCTTTTATACCTTGCGAGGCGTCATCCCCCAGGAAGGCGAGCCAGATCTTCGAGGTCTGCCAGAGCAGCAGGCCGACGACGAGGATGATGACGAGGCGCCATCGGAAGCCTAACCCCATCGTCCCGGCTGTTGTCGCGGCAAGAGACGCGCACGACTCTCCGCGTGGCGACGACGGCGGCGACGACGGCGACCGCGGCTGCGACGGCGGCCTCGTTAGCGCGGGCTGACGCAACGTTTCCAAGCGTCAAATGCGCCAGCGGCGGCGACGGCAGCGGCGGCGGCAGTGGTGGCCGACATAGCGTCGTGCGCGACACGCCGAGTCGAGAGGCGCGCGAACGACGCGACAATCGTCACGTTCGGTCGATCGATCGATCCGAGACAGATCCCGAACATAATCCGACACACCGCATGCTGCGCGTACATAACGGAAAATTCACGACCGTTTCACGACAGCGCGTCGAATTTGGACGTTTCCTCTTTGTCTCTTTTTCTCTCATCTTTTTCCGAGCACCGCATCTTTCACGCAGCAATGCGCGCTCATGGCGCGTCTCGTCGTAATACTCCAAACTACCGAATATATTTTCAAGCGTTGAAAATTAGATCGAAGCGTAGATTTTGATAAAAAATTTAAATGTTTCTGATTTTAGATTGCTCCGATTGAATCTGAGTTTCATACAGAAAGAAGACACTTTTTTAATAATCTGACTTTTAATATTTTTATAAAAGAAAATACTTGTAATGTTTCATTCAACATACATTTCTTTCAAAGAAATAAAAATTTTTCGTCACGCATATCTTTTGAAATCAACATACACAAAAAACAAAGTAATACTAAGAGAAAATTTTGAATTACTGTTGATATTGAATAAATTAAAATGTGATTTTTCTCGATAAAAAAAATCGATGCAAATTTAAAAGTTAAATAATTTTCAAGTCATTCAGAAAGTTGTGCTCAATTTTTTACCCAGA